TGTGGATGAAGAGGCGTAGTGCGTGCTTCTCTGATGCCTAACATTTTCATTAATTCTTGACATAATTCGGACTCAAAATTTCGTCCTTGATCAGAATGCAATAACAGAGGGACTCCATGTCTGGCTATGACGTTCGGCATAAACGCTTCTACTACTGTCGTTGCTTCCTAATTAGGAATAGGCGCTATTTCGGGCCAATTTGAAAAATAATCCATAACAACCATCAAGTATTTGTTTCCCTTTTCCTAAAATAACCCCCTTTTTTTAAACTAGTATCAAGGGTATTATCTCTGAACATCACAAACAAATTAATTTGAATTCCTTATTTTTGTTCAAAACGTTGAAACGCGTTAAAAACCTCGTTTTAATTTGCGCATTTGTAGGGGGATTTACCGGTACTTACTAGAATATTGTTGAGGATTCCCCGAGATTCGATTTATTCAGGAAAGAGCACGATATATTTAGTATCCCCGTGGTATTGAGACAGGCGTGGTCTATCGAATTTTATCGGTGTTTCGTTGTGCACTTTTTATTAAAAAAATGTCTAGTAGGTGTTATAAAAATAGACCTGATGGCTTTTGTTATATTTGTGGACACTTTATAGTGAATAAGTTTAAAAGAAACATTATCGATTTCGTAAAAAATGCATATTTTGCATATTTTAAGGTCAGACTTGAAGATCAAGATAAACCTTGGGCGCCACATGTTATCTGCAAGATTTGCGAAGAAGCCTTGAGGCATTGGTTTAAAGGAACAAGCAAAGCTCTATCGTTTGGAATACCAATGGTCTGGAGAGAACCTAAAAATCACATTGATAACTGCTATTTTTGTCTTTATGATATTAAAGGTCATAACACAAAATCTCTAAAGTATATTAACTATCCTAATATTTCGTCTGCAATAAGACCAGTTCGACATGACGCTGATATACCTGTACCTGTTCCACCTAAAGTATTACAGTCTATCGAATCAGAATCTTCAACAGATTCAGAAATTGACATTTTTGAGCCATCTACCTCAGGAACCCGTGAACCGCAGCTATTTTCTCAAGTAGAACTGAATGACTTAGTCAGGGATTTGGGACTTCCAAAAGACCTCTCTGAGGTTTTAGGATCAAGGCGTAAAGAAAAAAATTACTTACTCCAGGTACTACATTTTATTGGTATAGAAAACGTTAGGCTGAATTTGTCAATTGTTTTGCCGCAGCTGGTTCACTTGTATTGTAGCATTTATATTTTCACAAGAATATTTTATTTAAATCTACAAAGAATGTATTTACATGTACTAACCTTTTCATTACTATCAATATAAAACAATTAGCTTGAGTAGTAACAATTAAAGTATTTCACTTCTGTGGAATGTTTGGCAAATACAGTTTTATATATTTGATTTGATAACTATTATATACTAAGAATTGTTCAATAGTATTTAGACTGCACTAGAGGGTTTGAAACATAAATCACAATAAAATAACTTTGTTTAATCACTTTATAATACATTGCCATCTATAATTGTTTTGTTGTGCATATAATTCAATTGTAGATATCTTTTTATAATATCCAATTATTGTTTATTTTATTTGACTAGAATAGTTAGGTTATGTCATTTCTTCTTTTTGTTAGTTTGATAATTTGCACTACTTCATAAACGCATGTCATTTGTTACTAAGTGGCCTTAGTTAGAACTGTTATTGCGTACATTGGTTCGTTTGTATACCAATTTTTATTTTAACCAATCAAAAGCTGTTATTTTATATTCTGTTTGAATTCACTTCGAAATTCAAAATAACGTAGATATTTTTTTATACCTTCCTGGAATTTTGGATAGCCATTTGTTCGTTCCTTTCTGTTTGAAAAGCCGCAAGAGACACATCATTTCGTGTGAAGGCTAGTGTTAGTTTTGTCATCCCTTAATAGGTGAGTTTTTATTCAATAAATTTCTCAGGTTCTTTTATGAATCTCCTTCTTACGTTTCTGGATTGATATTAATTTCGTATTTTTTTTATCAGGGACCTACACTGGGACCTAATCCGGTAGAAAGCACGCCTTCCATATTTTTTGTACTACATCGCTTGATGGTTTCTGAAGTACTTAATTATATCAAGATATCCATAATCAATATCTTGAATATTGTCGTCCTGTTTATATTACATCAATTCATTGTTGGAATAGCTGTAGTAGCCGCATTTGGTTTCGTCTTCCATAATGTATAAGTTAGCACAGTCCAAAGTCCAGCTAAGTATCCTGCGAGACGTAGTTTGCTGTTCACAACTACATTTAGCTGTACCTTTCATTTGCGTTCACAACACAGTAGAGCAAGAGATGACCACTGGACCAAAAAAAACTGGCCACCAAGAAAAAAGTTAACGCCTGGTTCCAAAAACGTAATTCGGGAAAGCCTAGTTGATCCAGAGAAAATTTTATTACCCCCTCTACATATAAAATTGGGGCTGATAAAACAATTTGTTAAAGCTCTAAATAAAAATGGTGATTGCTTTAAGTACTTGTGTGAAACATTTCCAGGTCTCTCTGAAGCTAAATTAAAAGAAGGCATCTTTGTTGGGCCACAAATAAGAAGGTTGATGAAAACTAATGAAATTGAGACGGTTATGCAGGAAGACGAAAAAAAAAGCATGGACAGCTTTTAAACAAGTTATAAATAAGTTTCTAGGAAACTACAAAGACCCTGAATTTGAAAGTATTGTTGAAAACATGTTGGACAAATTTAGAAAGTTAGGCTGTAACATGCGCTTAAAAATTAATTTTCTACTTGCTCATCTTGACTATTTTCCGGATAATCTTGGCGATGTCAGTGAAGAGCAAGGGGAGCGCTTTCACCAGGACATAAAAGAGATGGAACGGCGATATCAAGGACGCTGGGATATCAAAATGATGGCCGACTACTGTTGGATGCTTAAAAGGGACCGTCCTACCGCAGAATATGCACGGAAAACAACAAAAAGAAGCTTTTCCGGAAAGAGAGAAAGATTTTTCAAGAAAACAAAGGATTAATGTATGTTATTTTTTCCCGGTTTTATTGTTTGTTTTCTTGGTTTATTATTTTCTTTTTTATCCTAAGTATCTATAAATATATTTTTACTTTTTGCATTCTTATAGTATTTTGTTTAAAAACCTTACGTGATGGAAAAAAACTAAAAGCAGATTTGAAATCATCGTCACTGAAATACCCAATTTCAGTTGAAAAGTTCAATTCATATTTTACAGAGTATTTAAACGCAGGCCTGTGTTATCGGTTTAAGCCGATCTCTGTTTTCTGAAACCTCCCTTGCTTTAGTCTGATCCAGTAAGACATCTATTGATTGATTTTTATTTTCATTTATTTTTTTAAGTTAGTATAGTGCAATAAGGCAGTTTTATGATATTCTAAAATATTATGTTTATTAAAATATTCTAAAGCGCGTTTCCATTGTTTGAAACTGTCTTGCACCAAATAACCCACACACTGTAAAGAAGTTTTCCCTACATATAGCCTTGAACTAAATACGCAATATTTGCAATAAGCTACATTTTCCGCATATTGAAATGTTCTAGAAAATGTTTTGTTTGACGTTGTGTATGAGGGAAATTGAAAATTATAGGGGGGTTTCCAAATATTGTTTATAACTTGTAACGCATCTACATTATTTGTTCTGTCTATAATTTTAAAGGAAGCAATATCATTTTACTTAGGTGTGTTACTTTCATGACATAAAACACTATCGTTATCCCCATGAAGACCATCTAGTACCAAGTCTACAACTATATAGTTAGTAATACTGCTACTTCCCACATACTTTGATTACTATACGGTGCAAGAGAGAGATCCGACACGCCCAACATAGGGCGCTGCCATTTTGATGCATTTACCACAGTTTATAGCTAAAGAATCAGTTCGCTCACTCTGCGTCGGCACTTTTGATCTCAATTTTCCAGTTTGTATACTGCGCAATTCGGATAATACAATATATGCCAATATTATAAAACAGCAGTCTTCTGCGCATCCTGAATTTGTATCCCTGGAGTGGATGTTATTTTGGAACATTCAACTGGTCCGAATGAGCTAACTAATTCTTTAGCAATAAACTGTGACTCCAAAAATAATATTCACTGACACTGACAGCAAGCAAAATATTAAAAATATTACGCCAAGATGTAGGCAACACGTAATAAGGCATCAAAATGGCGGACTTTTCTATCTCCTTTTAAAAGGCACTCAGACAGCTGCGCAGTGCGACCATTCTCCGTATAGTAAGAGAAAATCAAAGTATGTGACTACTTTTACTTCCACTATTTTCTCCCATCACCAATACATCATTTTTCTCCACCTCTGAGACAGATGCTTCTTCGCCCTCTTCTCCCACCGCCGAAACACTGCTTTCTCCTGTTTTTTTTTTTTGTTTAACAAATGACAATAGGGATGACTGCTTCCACAGAATGCTTCTTTTTTTCCATTTCTGTAATCTGTCAAATTTAACTATTACAAGTTAGAGAAGTCCATAATTAATATAAAATATGATGACGCAATTGAAGTAATTGGACAAAAAAAAATTATGAAATGTATTTCATTCCAAAAATGTAACATCATATTATCAGGCTATTAGGCATCTTAATATCGTTCACAAAAAAATTACGTAAAATTTCAACACTACTTAACGCAAAAAAACACTTTAACCATTATTATTATTATTTTTTTAATTGCTTTAACGTTTAATTCCCGAAAATAGAATTTCATTTTAAAACCGGCAACACAGGTGCAGCCCGAAAGCCCCCTCCTGGATTCGCCACTGCAACGTTGTCTTATTTGAGTTGATAAATCGTTTAAATGTGTTGCAAATACGAGTAGTTCAGAATATGCGTACATAATGGCAAAAACCATAGAGAGTTAAAGGAAGAACACTTTTAATATTCCTGCCACAACCAAACGAAATTCGACATAAAATACCAAAATTAAATATTTGTATTTAATATTTTAATATAAATTATTCTTATTTCTGTTTTCAGGAAACATAGTCAGCTTCTCGGTTGGAACAGCTATCACCTGGGCCTCGCCAGAAATAGACAAATTGAAAAATTCAACATTGGCAATCACGGAAGAAGAAGCATCATGGGTCACGTCCCTTTTTCATCTAGGAGCGGCATTCGGCCCATTCCTCTTCGGATATTTAGCTGACAAAATTGGCAGAAAACTTACCTTAGTATCCTTGGGATTTCCCTTTGCTATAATCTATCTTCTCATGGCATTCGTCAAAAATTTGTATTTGTTCTACATAGGAAGATTTATTCAGGGCCTAGCTACAGGAGGAGTGTTTACCGTAATGCCAATGTACGTTGGAGAAATAGCAGACAGCTCTAATAGAGGACTACTAGCTGGTTTATTAAACATTTTCCTTTGTGTTGGAATGTTATTTTCCTATTGTGTAGGACCATATGTTAGTATCTTAGCTTTTAATTTAATATTAGCTGTATTTCCAATAGCTTTCATACCGATTTTTTTCATACTAGCTGTAGAAACCCCTTATTATTGCTTAAGTAAAAATGAGCCGTTAAAAGCTAGACAAATTCTTCAGAAAGTTAGAGGTCCTACTGCAAATATCGATGAAGAAATTCAATCTATAGAACAGGCTCTTAAATCTGAAGGTCAGGCTGGAATTGCAGATTTGTTTCAAATAAAGGGAAATCGCAGGGCATTTATTATTAGTGTGGGACTTATGGCCTTCCAACAGCTATCTGGAATAAGCGTTGTTTTATCTTATGCCCAACCAATCTTCAAACAAGCTGGAACCAGCCTGGCGCCCGAAGTATGTTCAATGCTTGTAGGTCTTGTCCAACTGATTTCCAGCTTTTTGTCTTCAGCTCTTAGTGACAGACTTGGAAGAAAGATTCTTCTTATTGTCTCTAGTATTGGTATGGTTTTATCTGAAGGACCATTAGGGGTTTACAGTTATTTGAAAGATGAAACATCAATTGATGTATCCGGTGTTTCATTCTTACCCATACTTTTGTTAATGATTTATATTCTAACTTACAATGTTGGTAGTGGTTCTTTGCCATGGACGATAATGGGGGAGTTATACCCTTCAAATGTGAAATCCATCGGTTCCTCGCTAACCAGTGGGTCATGTTGGTTAATGGCATTTATTGTTGTTAAGTATTTCAGCAGTATTTCGGAGTCTATAGGGTTGGGAGCTTGTTTCATGATCTTTTCTATTTGTTGTTTAGCTTCTATACCTTTTATCCAATTTCTCGTTATTGAAACTAAAGCAAAGACTTTGGAACAAATTCAAGAAGAACTTAATAAATAAACTTCAAGTAACTCGAAAGTTTACAAGCCCTTTATCATTGTACCTAATTTGCATATTTGATTGCCTATGTTTGGGGGGTTTACGAAATTAAATTCTATCGTGCAATTTTTATAGTATGTTCATTTGTAAAGTTGTCCATTTAATATTTTATGAAATAAATAAATATTTAACGTAAAGAATAAATATTATATTTGCGAAAAATGGGGCAAAAATTATATCAAATTAACAACATTTTAGATGTTTAAAATTATTTTTAGCCATATTGAAAACGCAACTATAAATTTGCCCTCATGGTAAACCTTGGAGAAAAAACGTCATTATAATGAATGTTTCCTTCTTGTTAAACTTATTCATTACATGTTATTCTGTTGATTTCTTAAATGTTTTCCAGGAAAATATTAACGATTATTTAATTTATTATTGAAAGGAAACATAACTCCATTTTTTGAATTTTACTATTCACAGTGTACCAAAAAAATCTTCCATCGTTACACTCGACTTTTAATCAGAATTGACGTCGACGTTTTTAAATTTAAGAGTTTGAACATAACTATTTAAAAATGCTTTGTGAATATGGATGTTGGAGAAAACTTTATGGAAAAATATTTTTATATTTTAATAAATTATTGCTAACTAACGATTTACAATTTTCAGAAGGTTTTTGACTGTGGTAGCAAAATATACATTAAATGCACAATCTGTATAAACTAGCCTAAATAAATATTTCATATATAAAATGTAAACAAATGTAAAACTATTGTGATATTTTTTAATAAATAAAGTGATGTATTATTTTTTTAATTATATGCAAAAAATGTAATAAAAACTCAAAAGTTTTAATTTTGGAAATTTTCCTTGCGTAAGAGTGCAGACATTGGACATTAATCATCACGTTTACAACGACTTAATAGTTTCCTATACCTGTAAAAATTGAGAAAAATTTCCACTTTCCTTGGTTGCCTCTTAATTTTTTTCAATTAGACACAAGACCTGTGATGTCACATTAAATCGTGAATAATATGAGGTAAAGGATTTGGGAGTGGTCTTTTAATCTAATTTTAAATTCAATAACCATTTCTTACACATAACTAAAAAAGCAATAAATATAAAAGCTTTGGGTTTTTAAATCAGAAATACAAAAATTTTTAGGATTACCACCAAAATTAGACTATATAATGCCTTAGTAAGACCCCATCTTGAGTATGTTTCACAAATATGGATGCCCTTGGAAGCCACACATATTGATCATATTGAAAAAATACAAAAAATATTTTTACGGTACCTTTATGTCATAAAAAATACTCGTACCCTTATAAGATCTCATATAAAACTATACTTCATAGTTTTAAGAATAAATCTCTTTTACAAAGAAGAAAGCAGTCAGTCGTTATGTTACCACTTTGAAAAAATCAGAATTCTCTAAATTAAAATCTGTAACAAAGTGGTTATAAAAGTAGATTTCGAGAGACTTAAAAGCCATCAAATACTCTTTATGGTTAAGCATAACAACTAGTTGGACCCTTGAATAATAAATATATCAAAGAATTAATAGGAGGTATGTTAATTGCTAAGATACTCGGAACTTATAATATTTGTTTAGAATGATTTGTTTTAGGAATAAAGTAAGACTTCAGCAAAACCTACTATTTATTACTTGTAATCTGTAAGTTGTGTTCCCCTTACATTAGTTAGGCCTCAATAGCCCCATTGTTCATCCTCCAGATGCGGCCTTTCAGGTGAGATTTCTATAGGGATAACTACCTCTCAGATCGTCAGATAGCCTGCAGATCTGCTTGAGATAAAATTGAATAATACATTTTGCTGAATTAATTTTTTTTTTTTTAATTTCAAACTAGTCCACCAACAAAATGTAACCATTTCCAAATAATAAAATTCTCTTGATGTCCCTGCACTTCTGATTTGAAGATTAAGTTGTTAAAAGCCTGATCTACACCACACTTACAAGTTGTAATATTTTTATAGCGACCATGTAACGATTTTGACAAAAGTAGCTATTCTAGTATTCATGGTTGCTATAAAGTTGTATGTGTGGTGTAAACCAGGCTATTAACAACTTAACCTTCAAGTCAGAACGTTAAGTGAAATATAATTTATCATTTGGGACTTTTTATTTTTGTTAGTGGACTGAAAGTGTACTAAAAACAAGTCATAAATATGTCGTAGTTGTAAACTTTCATCAAGGCAGGAAAATTTAATGTGCAATTTTTATCGCAAGCAGACATGCAGGCATTTTGATGATCTAGGAAATGGTTCCTATAGACAGCTCTCAGTGACGTTATATATCAACAAGCAGACGTTTTGGAGAGCTGAGAGGCAGGTCTTAAATTCCCGTGAAGAATGCACAATGGGCCTATTGAGGCTTAAGTGTCATGGATGGGCACCCCTCCTTACATAGACAGATCGTAAGGAGTAGTGTAGCCTTTGCTGAAATCATACTTCATTCCTAAATCAAACTATTATAATATATCTATTTAGTTCTGATATCTATTATTCTATCAGTAAATATACCTTCCATTAATTTCGTAGTCTATTAAAATATTTATTATCCAGGGCCCATATTTCTTTTTTAGCAACTAGTTGTTACGCTTAATCATCAAGAATATTTGGTTGCTTCCAAATAACTCTGAATCAACTTTTGTAACCACTAGTTGTTACAAATTTTACTTAAAGAATTCTAATTTTCTTAAAGTGGTAATACAACAATTGACCTTGATCATAGCCACTTGGTCGGTAGCATAACTATGATACAGCATTGTATAGACTAATATAGCGATCGTGAATACTAGAATAGCTACTTTTGTCAAAGTTGTTATATACAGTTGCTTTGAAGTGGTAAGATAGCAAGTGGTTATAAAGTTGCCAGATAACAACTATAGTTGCAGAATAGACCCCTTTAACAAGATGATGGCTGTTATTGATACATATACTGGAGTTTAACATAGGGGCGGCCATTTTGATACGGTTTTACTGGTACATATGTGACCAGAAATACACTATGGTGAAAAGTTGGTTGCATCTCTAGGTCCTTCCACTTTTAATCACATACAATTTAACGATTATAAAAATAAATATACACAATTAATATATCTATATTCTACCTATAACAAAAAATATTTCAATGTTTAAAAATACATACCTAAATATTGATTTAAAATGACAAAACTATTTACAATCATAATACTGCCCGAGAATAACCAAACGCGTTTGGTTATTCTCGGATACTGCGTCGGGTTTTAGCATGGGCAGGGAGGTTGGTAGCACAAGTATTTAAACCACATACTATGATTACTATACGAGGCAAGAGAGAGGTCCGACACGCTCAACATTGGGCGCGGCTATTTTGAACCCTGTGGCACAGTTTACAGCTAAAGAATCAGATCGCTCACTCTGCGTCGGCACTTTTGATCTCAATGTTTCAGTTTATACACTGTGCAACTCGGATAATACAATATATGACAACCGCCTATAATAAAACAGCAGTCTTCTGCGTATTCTGAATTTGTATCCCTTGAGTGGATGTTATTTTGGAACTTTCAACTGGTCCGAGTGAGCTAACTGATTCTTTAGCAATAAACTGTGACTTCAAAAATAATATTCACTGACACTGACCGCAGCAAGCAAAATATCAGGTGCGTTTTAATCATCCGCTTCTGCTTTCGGAATTGTCGGTTTAGTCGTTTTAACCTGTCAGATTAAAACAAGAAAACCGACAATTCCAAAGCAGAAGCGGATGATTAAAACGCACCTATTAAAAATATTGCGCCAAGATGTAGGCAACACGTAATAAGGGTTCAAAATGGCGGAGTTTTCTATCTCCTTTTAAAAGGCACTCAGAAAGCTGCGCAGTGCGACCATTTTCCGTATAGTAATAGAAAATCAAAGTATGTGATTTAAACACATCGCTCGTGCTGCCACTACTCATGCTACTGCCGCTAGCTTGATTTGCCAGCATTTCAATATAATACTTTCGAGACTTATAGCAGGGGTAGAAGTTGGAAAGGCTTTTGCCAGTTATCCCACTTTATACACATAAATTGACAGGTTTGCAGCGGATTTAACCGAAGTGGACGCGATACATTGGCGTACAAAATTATTTTATAGATGTTAATAACAATTTCGAGTAAATAGTTTAATAAATTGTGAATAGCTGTTGAAATTTTGTAAAATTATGATTTGAATATTATAATACATGTTTAATAATTATTTATAGTCCATAAATATATGCGATTGTCCGGTTCCGCTGGTAACAATTTAAAATTACACTTATTCTATGAAACGACACTGGCAGGTAAACATTACTGCGAAATTCTCGAAGCCGTCCGACGTAATTTGACGTTCACCCCCTCTCTACCTACCACAAGCCTTTCCAACTTCTACTTGTGCTATAACTAGCGTTCTCACACTACAATTTGAAACGTCACAACTTGTTTTCAAAATAGTTAATTAAAAAGTTGAATAATTGTCGTTTCCCGATTGAAATTGATCACATCTTAATCCATCATTCTCTGAATGAACTTTAAATCGTAACAGAGTTCCCTTTTTTCGAAAACATCGGAAACATATATCTTACTTCTGCAATAACTGTTGAATTTCTATAAAAGTTTTTCCTCTGGTTTCCGGTATATAAAACCAAGTAAAAACGCCACAACCCAAACTGAACATCCCATAGAACAAAAACGTTCCATCCTTACCGAAAACGTCGGTCATATCATTAAAGAATTGTGTCATCAAAAAGGAGGCGAACCAACATGCGGCTGATGTCGTTGAAGCTGAAATTTTTTTGAAATTTTTCGGAAAAAGTTCCGAAGAGACCGTCCATGGTAAACATGCCATACCGTTTTCGAAAGCAAATACCATTATAAGAAGACTTGTTATGGGTAACCAAGCTATTGGTTCGATATTAAAATTGGTTCTATTTTCAAAGTAGAAGAATGAACCTAACATAAATAGACAGATTGCCATTAAAGTCGAAGAACATATTAAAAGCGTCTTCCTTCCAAATTTATCTGCAAAGTACGGAGCTGGTAGACTGAAGATCATAATAGAAGCACCAACGATCATGGAAGATATATACGAAGGCAGCATAGTTCCAGAAGCTTCAAAAATTGGCTGCAAATAAAAAAATATAGCATTCCAACCAGAAAATTGCTGGAACGACATTAATGCTATAGAAATAATAAAGGCTTTTCTAATTCCAGGATTAATAAAGATATTCTTGAAACTTGGTGGCGTCTCCTCTTCTTGTTTCAGAGTATCTTTGATGTGATTTAATTCAGTTTGAACACCTTTTTCATCTTGAGATCGTAGTACCATCAACACTTTTTCAGCTTCATCCATTTTATTGGCTCCCACCAAGTAAAACGGAGTCTCAATTCCAAGTAAGAGGAACAAAATGAAGAAGGCGATAGGAAAAGCTGCGTTAAATAAATTGAACATTCGCCCACTCAAGAATGGTCCTACTAGATATGGCATGAAATTACCTAACGCCCAAAATACAGTCATGGTCATAGAGTATAATCCTCTGTCTTCTTCTTTTGCTACCTCCGCTATGTAAAGGGGCAGTAGGGTGTAACCAGCACCAACTGCTAGACCTCCGAATGCCCTGCCGAAGTAGAAGATGTCTACGGTTTTAGCGAACGCCATCGATAGGTAGGCAATTATATGAACGATTCCTATGCCCAGTAAGGCGACTTTTCGTCCTAGAAAAAAAATGTTTAATTTTTAATCGACTTCAAAAAAACGGAGGTTCTCAATTCGTCGGAATATTTTTATTATGTATATTCAGCGATAATTATTTACCACGTTGTCCGATTTCTATGGTTCTTTATTTGTTAAAAAGGGGGTACCTCAGGGGTAGTCCCATATACATTTGGTCAAGATCTATGATGGGTTCTATGAGAAAATCAGTAAATTCAATTTGTGATGGCATCTGCACGATTTTGGAGCCAGTTTCTTAAAATTGTAATACGACCCCTTTTTACCCGTTTTAAAGCCCGGGAGACGTACGGACTAAAACCAGTCACTAATAAACGTTCAAATTAAAAGGGCGGTTTGTCTAGGTGTTTTGGAAACGTCGTTTCGTTTTTGGCAACGTCTGTGTCTGAACGACAACTTTTTACCCATCGAAGTTTGTGACAGGCTCCTAGTTCACCTATAGTGAATCAGCGAGTCTATGTGGCGCTATGAAGGTGATTCCCGAATAGGGGTTGCTCAGGCGCCAGTTTTGGTATCGCAGTTTGCTCTGCGACCCTGTGGTACACCAGAGTGTACTCAAGGTAAACTCAGAGTAGGTAAAAATAATTCCAGGCGGTCACTGCTAGGTAGCCACTATACTAGAATAAATAAAAATAAAACACTTATTTCCTTTACACCTCGTACCCTACGGTACCTTGAAAGAGAACGGTTAAGAACCAGCAGTAAGAGAAACACAGGAATAGGTAATAAAATATATATTTACAAAAAAAAATACAACATTAATTAAATATGAACGGCTCCCTGTATTCGGAAAATCTATTAAAAATAAATTATTACACTTGAAAACTAATTAAATATTAACGGCTCCCTATATTTGGAAAATTTATTAAAAATAAATTATTAGAACTGAAAACTTTAAATATTGATGGATCCCTATTTCCGAAAAATTTATGAAAAATAAATTATTACAATTGAAAACTATTTAAATATTAATGGATCCCTTATATCCGGAAAATTTATGAAAAATAAATTATTACAATTGAAAACTATTTAAATATTGAGGAATAATTACAGTTCGCTAGCACAGGAGGCCAAACCATTCGGAAATTATGAAACTCCCTATATACGGAAAATTTATTAAAAATAAATTAATACACTTGGAAACAATTTAAATATGACGGTAATCAAATGCAAGCAAATAAAAGAAATCAAAGTTTTCGGAACGTCCCTGTATCTTAGACCAGACCAATCGACGCTCTGGCAATTATTGAACGAGAATGATAATTTTCAGCGTGGTGTTTGGAACAAAAATGCGATGGTTAACGTAAAAATTATTATGAGATTTGCCAAAAGGCGATGAAGACGGTGTGTGAATTAGTTTTACAGAAAAAGTTGGGCTTCGTTCAATAATTATTTGTGGACGGGGAACGGAACGATTCAAATACAATTGAATGAATAAATAAAAGAAAAGAGAACCTTACATGAAAAATACCGGGTGCTTCTTATAAAAAAAAATTGCCAACGGTTTCCCACTAAGGGATGAAATGAAAAATGCTGTGTATTTCACTCGATACTGCAGGAGAGAGAAGAGTTTACGACTGCCGAAATTCAAAAGGGCGTAATTCCCAGGTGTGATTGATTTATGCTTTTCGGTAAACCTGAGTGGGGATACCACTACTACAGCCGACTGTTTACAATTTAAAAATAAAAAAATGTCCTTCTAGTACCTTGACAAATAAAGGTAGATAATCGGTACGAAATCGACTCTACAAAATGCCCATTCGGATTTCGGCAAATATAGGAATATTTTAATATACGAGGGTACTCGCAATTGTTGGAAAACGGTAATACCTGGAAACTTCTACATGTTCTTAGGCGGGAATTAATTGAAATATACATTATAAATAAATTTGAATTAAATAAAAATGAAATTAGTGACTTCGTCACAAGTTGCAAGGTTAAAAATCGCCCGTCATGCGCATTAATTATCAGAGTTAATTATGATATGTAGTAAAAATTAAATTCCGTACACGATGAAGCTGTTCTGTGTTTTTTTCCTATTGTTCTCCATCTTGATTTTGATTCCATACCATGCAATTAAATTAGCAACAAATAACGAGAACGAGATTTTATACCTTTTTTATTTCTAAAAATTAAAATGGCTGCATTTATATCGTTCCTAGTGCCGATAATGCACTTTCTAGAGATGATGCTGTTCTATACTTTTTAGAAGATATTATCAAATATTATGAGACTATTTTAACTAATGGTACTGTTAGCAAAATAAAAAGGGGAAAGCTAAAATTAAAGGATGAGGTAATACCATGTACATTCCCAAATCTCCTTTTATGCTTGTATTACAACAATAAAAAATCTGTTAACTGTGTTTTATTTTATTCTTAAAACTATATATTGGTTCAATTCAAAAATAAAAACTTGCCACAAAATTGTACTTCCCAAATTTCAGCAATTAAGAAACCTTTTCGAATTTGGTCTTACATACCTAATTTGTATTTTATATAGATAAAATTAAATAATTTATCAATTAAAACATGCAAGACTTATTTAGAAATAAATACAACAGTACGTTCTGTGCTTTATTTAGCTGTAACAAGTTTATTTTTATTATTTTGAAAAAATTATGTATAATTCCCATAAGAAGCCATGTATTTTAAACAACGTATGCAGTACCAGCGCCCATGCGGTTAATTATAGAAGCTCAATTAGCATGCGTTTTTTTGGGACCGTATTTTGAGTATGCCGATTCGTCTCCTCATTTCTAGTCTTCATAGGCCGAACTTATCGAAAATCAAGACTTTCACGAGTTCTGAAAACTGAACTTTTAAACGTGTATAAAGTGAAAATAGAACTATTTTGTGCAAATATCTTTTAGTGAGGTGATTGATTCTGCATTTGGTGAGTCAGATCCAATTTATTAATATCAGAATCATTCAACCTTTATTGTTTTTTAAAACAGTCAGTTTGTTAGATTTCATTGACTGCGGTATTTTTATCAATGTCTAGTACAAGTATCAAAGAACCTTTTTGAACAGATACTAAGATAGCTAGTGAATAATTAGTAAATTACATTTTTATGTATAAATATTTCCAAGTAACCTCACAAAGATCGCGCCAAATCGAGGCGTCATTTGCAAAGTTCGCGCCGAGGAACAGAACGGTAATTACAGACTTGACATTCCGTCAATCGTGAACTCCGACGTTGCCACGTTTCGAATTTTTAAAGCTAAATACAGTAATTGTGCGCCGCGCTTTTGCCGGATTGTCTAAAAAATCTTAGTTAAACAGATTTAGTATATTTTACGCAAAATGGCTCCCAAAAAGTCTAATGATCCAGAAGGAGGTGTAGATACCGGTCCTAGTACTGTCACCATGTCGACGGAACAATTTTCTTCGGTACTTCGGTACAAAGTGGCATAGACACTCAGCATTTCTTGACGTCGGCAACAATACAGAGTTTACAGCACGCTTTAGTGGATCAGATACAGCCTTATATTCTAAGGATACAGCAAATTTTGACGCGTTTCTGGACAATGTCATAACTTATTAAGACCAGGCAAGCACTTGGTGGCTAGGAGTGAAAACATCCATTATCCATAAATACTTGGAATGACGTGGTTATCGCGCTTACAGACGCTTTTTCTCGTAAACTACCGCCTCATTTACTGTTTTGTGAAATATTCGCTCGGAAACAAAGTGATAATTAACCAACAGAAGTGTTCGTCTGTCGCATTCGTGCCCTCCTAGCTTAGTTACCATATACCTTGCAAAATGAATCACAAATTGACATTATTTACGGTTTACTATTCTGGAAAATTCGAAAGAGTTTTAACTTTGGGTTGAGTTGTTTGAACATTACAGTTGATATCCTTACTAAATTAAATGCCAAAAAAGATCTGGCGATTTAATTTTGCTGGATGTATACAAGTATAATAATGATTATTGAACCTATCTACGAATTGTTCCCAGTCTGATTCCCACAGTTTATGGGCCTGATCGTTTCCAACATATTATATCATCGCATTCATATATTCTATGAAATGATTATTAGTGGTAGGGAGATGTGAAACGTTTCTTATACTTACCGAAATGATCGGAAATAAAACTGAAAGGAATTCCACCAACCATAGCACCAATATTTATTAAAGATGCTATATATGCATCTTCTTCTGCGGTTATAGGCCTAGGAAGAGGATTTATAGACGAATCGTTGGAGTAAAGCTTTGAGTACATTGGGGACGTCCATGTCATCGTTATATCTCCAGATGTAGCTAACAGATCAACTGAAAGTGAAAATAATCATTATAAAAAAAAATTATTTAAAGTAAATATATAAAAACAAAGGTAACGTGATGTGAGACTGGAATATTTTCGTTACCATTTAACTTCCGTTTTAACAGAAAAGTCACTAAATTCGTAATGTTTACCGTTAAAATCTTTAAGCTTACTATTAAAAGCTTTGACAATTGCATTCATTTACATGGCCAAACCAACCAAACTTTACTCAATACCATTTCTTATAGACCATCACAAAAGTTATTTAAATTGGTTGAAATCTGGCAGCTCAAAATCTATTGCTTTCAATGACGGTTCTCCGCGTTTTACAGAATCAATATACAAATACATCGCAGCTCAGCTTTAATCCGAACGCTATTCTTATTGTAAAATAACGATCTAATTTCAACCACTTATAATTATAACCATATACGTAGCTGTGTGAATGTCACCAATCTACAAGTCTTGTGTACATGTTTTTAATCGATTCCCCAAGCGAGGTTGATATCAAATGACAGACTACTACACTTATTAAGGATCTTGACATTTTAACCAAGTGAAAACTTAAAAACATTTTTTTAATGCCTTCAGAACACAAATATTCTGCTTATTCATCATATGGCAACATGGATTTATTAACAAGAAATCGGTTAATACGAACCTACTACAATTTACAAACGAAATTTACAGAGTGTTTGAAAACAGAAACCAATTGGATGTAATTTTCACAGATTTCGCAAAGGCATTTGACAAAGTTGATCATGACTTACTATTGCTTAAGCTAAGCCATTTTGGGATAAATCACAAAATATTTAAAACTTATTTACAAAATAGAAAATTCTTTGTTACATATATGGGCCACAATTCTAATTTATGTGATGTGAACTCCGGAGTTCCTCAGGGCTCAAATCTCGGTCCTCTTCTCTTTCTGCTTTTTATTAATGATTTACCAAATGTTCTAAAAGAGTCGGCTTGTGTACTATTTGCTGATGATCTTAAAATATACAAAGAAGTTTTTACAGTTAGGGACTGTGTTGGATTACAAAGGGACATAAACAGAATAGTACAGTGGAGTTTAGTGAATAAATTGCCTTTCAATACAAAAAATGTAACGTAATAACCTTTACTCATAAAAGAAATTTGATATTATTTGATTATATTATGCAAACAGAAAGTCTTAAAAGAAATTATGAAGTAAAAGATTTAGGAGTAAGCTATGATTCGACTTTGTCTTTTGCACAGCACTTTGAAGAAGTTTGTAGTAGGGGCAATAGGGCATTAGGCTTTGTAATGAGAAATACACAATGTTTTTCAAATTTAAATGCAATCAAAATTTTATTTTTCACAAATTGTGCAACCAATTTTGGAATATGCCTCTATTATTTGGCAATCACAGCCAGTCGTATACCTAATTAGAATAGAAAAAATTCAAAATAAATTTTTAAGATATCTTTATTACAAAAAACATAATATTTGGCCGGATTATACAGTAACAAGAACTACCGATTTAAGAAAATTATTTAAAACTAATCCATCTATCCTTGAGAAGAAATATAAATTTATTATCATTTTTACACAAAGTAATTAATGGAGCTATCTATGATCCCTATATTCTAAATTTAATTAATTTTAATGTTCCAAGATGTGGAATCAGATCTCCTCAGCTATTTAGAATAACCTCCTCTACGTTAACCTGTACAGCCCGCTCTCCCATATCTTCTATGCTTAGAACCGCAAACGAAATCAGCGTTTTAACTGACTTAGATTTTTCATTGGGTCATACGCAATTTAAAAATAGAGTTTTAAAATTTTACTTAGAACAGTTCTCATAAATGTGTATCTGCTTGTTCTCCTTAATTTATCTTTGTACAGTCGATAATATATATAAAACTTTTACTATTTAATTTTGTAAATTTCATGTAATTAGGCTAAATGCCTGTTTGAAATTAAATAAATAAATAAATAAATAAATATACTCCAACAATCAAATCAACCACTTTCCTAAGCTCATGTATCATCTAATTCTGGTCTATGAGAAGCCCTTCAAGCTAATTTAGGACCTGTTTCGCTGGAAAAATAATTGAATTCCTTTATTAGGTGAACTAAGTACCATGATTTTCAGAAGATCTAATCTCGTATTTTGACTTCAACTAACTTGACTTCAAGTATCTCTGCTTCAAGTAACTTGACTTCAAAAAACTTGAAGTCAAGTAAATTGACATTAAGTTTTTGTTCATATGTTAACAAGTCAAGTGCAGCAAGTATATATTTAAATGAGGTTTAATAGCATGGTGATTCTCATAGCAGTAGAAGATATCACCAGAAATTATATCACTGGAAGGAACATGCTCATCTATACCGACAATAGACAAGCACTTCTCACCCTGGACAGACCACGAATTTACTCAGGTTAGTACTAGAATGTCACGAACCTTTGGCCGAACTATCCATCAACAATAGCAATGTGAACAACTTAAGATGGATCAAAGGTCAAGCTGATTCACTAGTAGCCAAGAAGGCAGTTGACCAAATACTTTTTGGACCTGGCCCTTCTATTCAGCTGACAACATCGGTAGTGATACACTTAATTAAAGAACATTCGCTTGTGAAATTCAAGAAAAGATGGGATGAAACAAGAAGCTGCAGACTTGTCAGGAAGTTTTTAATTATTGTAACAACACTAGAGAAAACAAATACTTGACAATGAATAGACAGAATCTGCGCCTGATCACAGGCATTCTGACTGGTCATGGAAAGTATGGAAACATCTTATTATCATGTTGCAGTCAAAATTCACGCTCTGCGGATTGGACCATCGAGCATATCTCCTACAATTGCCCAACGCTATCATTTATTAGAAGATTTGCTTTCGGCGAGAATTGGCTAAACACCGGCCGATATAAGAGAAGCACCTCTTGGCGACGTTGTTAACTATATTATATCTGTAGGCTAGCTCATGAGCTAGGAGGTACCTATCTACTTAGGCGGACGCACAATGGGCCTACTGAGGCCTAAGTGTCGTGGGTTAAACCATCCAGCACACGTTACAGATACAGAACATGTAAAATTGTGCAGTAATTAGTGAAAATTGTAGAAGAAAAAGGAAGAGGTTTATTTAAATAAGGAGTGAATTAACAAGAGACATTTATGACCTCTCTTTCTACATTCTCAGCTGTCACTCTCTCTCCAGCTGGCTTGAATAACTATACAAGCTGTCGTTCAAAGCAAAGAAAAAGTTGAAAGAGCATCTTCTTCACTTTCAAGTAAATTACTGGTTTTTATATATATATGGGTCAATTACTTTCCAGTTAGCTACTTAAATTCAAGCGATTTGAAGCCAAATAACTTTAAACTTCGACGCATTCAAATAGTTACTGTAGCGATCACACACCCAGTACGTGACAGAAGTTCCTGATCTGTAAGAATAATACATAGAAAAGATAATAACATTTTAAGATTACTTCTTATTAATTGAAGTGGTTGGAAAATTTTTATTAGCTAGTAGCTATTGTTTACTAATTGTTTGAAAGATAAGAGCATCTAAGTAATAGAGATTTTATCGTTATAATTAAAACTCATGTTTTTTTAAATTACATAGGTACTGCGAAATAATTTGGTATGTAGGTACCTAATAATCAATAACTATTGTGATTAAAATTACTTTTTTTATTGAAACCATTGAGATAGACGAACGTTATGGAAAAATGTAATCAAAATGGCGACTTAGAGTCGTACTTTGATTTATTTGGAGTCAATAATTTTATATTTGAAGATTGACGAAATGAAAATGTTTTTATATCATTTAAATGAAACTATTTAAAAAAAATTATATTTACTATCACCAAAGTGACCGATTTTGACATATGACGTAAAAGGGTAATGCAATGGTGCGCGGACACTTTTATTATTATCATAGCATCGCCTCTTTATTCTATCTCAATGACATGTGAGTAGATACTTTGCTTTGGAATAGCGTATTAATAAAACTCTGCTAAATAAAACTAATGCAAACTGTACATATAGTCTGTTGCAATTTATAGTAGAAAATCGTCTCGCTTTACACATGAAGGAAGGTTGTGTATTAGCCGGAACAGGGACGGTGCTCCCAAATGGACTTTAAACATTTATGTTTTCTGTTTGGGTTACAAACATGATAATATTAATATTTCGTAAAAATGTTTGTCAGATTATATTGTGCAATGAGAAAAAAAAATATGTATCTTACATTGTGGTGGAGATTCAGGTTGGGTAGAAGGAGCTCTCTTGCTGTCTGCAAAGGATGTACGGGATAGTAGTTTGGACTACCACCAGGACATAGAAAGTACTCTTTTTGAAAAATGGTTTGAGAGTACATTACTACCAAAACTAAATGAAAATAGCGTAATAGTTTTAGATAATGCCCCATACCATTCTTGGTTGGAACAAAAAACCAATTCAGTGATTTAGGACTTATTGATGGAGAATGATATATTTTTTAAAGAAAACTACCCAAAAAAACAGTTAATAGAACTTTTACACTTGGTTGATTTTCAACGTGAATATGTTATCGACACCATAGCAATAAAACACGGATTTAAAGTTTTACGTTTACCACCCTACCACTGTATTTGGAACACCATAGAATTATTACGATCACAGTTAAAAAAATATTTTCGATCAAATAACTCTTCTCCTAAGTCCACTTCTTCTGTAATTGATGTAGTAAGAAATGCATTTTAACTATATAACTGTTGAAAACTGGAAAAACGCTATTCAAATCGAAGAGAAATATATGAGATTTAACAATACAATTCAAAAAATTAAAATAAATTTAGATGATACTGATGATGATAGTGATATTATTTCAAAATATGAAATTAGTGACAGTGAAAGTGATCTAGAAATATATAGACGTTTTTAAATTCATTTACCTACATTTCCACAAAATAAATCTAGTGAAACATATTCTTTTTAAATTAATACTTAATAATTTTAGTCATTTTTAATTTTCAATATATTTTTTAGATGA